AATCAAGAAAAAAAAATCGATTTTTAAACCTCAGCAATTTAGATTCAGAGCGAAGTTATTTATCAAGGCTAAGTTGAAAAAGCTAATGGTGTCTGTGATTTATCGGTGAAGATCAACCGGTCGTAAACGTTTTTCCCCTAGAAGAAAAAAACGATATTATTTGAAGGACCTAGCAGGAATGAAGCATTCATGGGCTTCATCAAGGAATATAAGGGGTTCGCCCAAGTCTAGGGACCAAACGAAACATTCGTGTTTTGTACACGCAAGTCCATTTCGTCTTTTCTATATATTTTGGTGGGATCATACTGTTGTGAGCACTGTAAGAAAAGCATTAAAAATGTGCGGGGAAAGAAAAAAAAGACGAGGGTAAGGAAGTCCACATGACTCTCCGAAAAAAGAAGTGGAAGTAAAACAGGATGATGAGCAATAAAAAAAGTTCTTTAACGGTGATGTGGAAGCACAGAACCTGACCTACTAGTAAGATGAAGACTAGACATTTAGAAATCGTTACAGAAAAGGAGATTTCGAAAAACTCAAAGAAAAAAAAGAAGGGAAAAACTCCCTGGAGAGCTCATGGGCAACCGCTAGAGACAATACGAAAAGCAATACGACTGCTAGTAAGACACAGATCAAGAGCAGACAAAGAACAGGTGGCCAATGATAAATGGGAACACTATAAAAAACTAATGTATTGCTACACGTCGTCCTCCACCACGGGCCTTCTCATGGAAAATGTCGCTTTCACGACATCTATTGATTTCTGTTCCACTGAGATCAAACTCTGCACAGGGCAAAAATCAATTCGCACCACATCCTACTACCCAAAACGACAGTCTACTGCCCGAATATTCGAGTGGAATTCCAACACGTGGGGTTGCTCTTTATATGGGCTCATCTGATACCTTCGCAGCAAGGAAATGTACACCATTAGTTTACAAAGACTGAGCCGCGTTCAGTGTAATAATGACTGAAAATGGTGGTCATCTTCCCAACTGAATGCCCACCCCAATCATGGACCTTGTCGCCCTCTCATTAGTGAATCAAGTGAAACAGGAAGGGCACGACTCAGGGATCGGTGATAATTTTCGCTAATCATACACCTCCCTCCCGTCCCATCCCAAGTTTGCTCATCCGGTACGACCCCCTCAACAAGCGAGCCGATCTTACAGAACTTTTCAAAAAATTCCTGTCGAACAGGAGTTTTTTGATTTTTGAAAAGTCCTAAGATCGGCTCGGTTTGGGGGAGGGGGAGGGGTAGGGGGTAGACACGAAAACTATGGGGAAATAGTAGTTTTGAGGTGCCGCCGACTAAGGATATACGTAAAGCGAGTGAAACGGGAAAAGATCAACAGTCAGAAAAATAGTCACCCATCCCAATTACGACCCCCCCCCCCCTCCAGCGACTGAGCACGAATCCCCTGAGTATCCGCAATGTAAAACGTGCCCTGACCGACAAATTAGCACTCAAGTCAACCAATTCCAACCCTCACTTAGGACACAGAAAGACAGAACGCGAATTTTCTCAAAGGCACTGGACACGATCGCTGTAGGCGGACGGTTGGTACTAACGTCACTGGTAGCAGTATTAAGAGGGGCGTGGTCAAACGCCCTCTTGCGACTCTTCCACCAATAACGTTAGCAGCAACCGCCCGCTTCAGCAATCGTGCCCAATACCTTTGATGAATGCGGTAGAACGCGAATGGCGTTACGACGGCGTGACATATCCCTCGAATGGAACTGTATCGTTTTCCCGTTTTAATGCCTTTTCTCAGATGATATTCAGAATTTTAGAAGCTACTAAAGCATATTTATGCAAAAGAAAAAAAGGAAAACTTCATCGCAACGACAAAGAAATGGTATTTGGCTACTCCACTAACCCCGTTCTTTCTTCCACTTTGTTAGGGTAGAACAGGAACGGAGCACTGCGTAACCGATCAAAGATAGAATCTTTACGGTTCACACATTCACCTGTTTCTGATGAAACCCTTCGCCATCTGCCTTTCCCTCTCAAAATGTTTGCCATACCGTGTTCAGCATCCTCTTAAGTGCATAGAAATTGGATCAAATTCCCTGAATCTTTCTTAACAACTCAGATTGAATACTTAATCAACAGGCTGACTGCACCGCACAAGTTCGGAAGATCTCATGAATGATCTTCATCGGCTCTCTCTTTGCGAAAACCGCCAAATCTGCGTTTCGGGCGGTATCAAGATAGGAGCGAAAGTGATTTAGGTGTGTATTGTTGGTCGTTTCGATGGTTCAGCCGATCCATAAGACTCGTCAGCAAAGCAATTCCAGGATCTAGAAAATCTATACCTTGGCCAGCTTTCTACGCCCATAATTTCATGCTTGCACTTTGTAGGCATTTCCAACTGCGGTATTCCAGTCTAATTACTATCATCATATACGCTAACGACTGGTTAGAAGACAACCAAAGTCGTCATACTTGTGCTGTTCTCTCCAAATTCCATGGGAAACGAACTGGTCATAATTTTTAGTTGCGTAGGAAAGAAAACATGAGAATCAAGAAGAGCATTCAAAAGAAAGGTGAGGAACGTAATACAATCCAAGTGAAACATCAGACGCGAGAACGCGTCGAAATCACTGACATCAGAAACACAACACATGTCATTCGGATGTAATGCTCTTCACAACATCGCAACGCCATTTGTCGACAACTACTTCTCGAAGGGATCGGCGACCAAATTGCAGATTTACAATCTCTCAGACCTTTCCCACAAAAAAAAACGAAACATTGCAAAAGACCACATTCCAGTCATGAAATGTGGCTTCATTTCATCACTGGAATGTGGTCTGTGCACGAGCTCGAAGCCACATTCCGCAGTTACAATTTGGGATCCAAATATACAGGGGGAGGGGTTGCGCCAAAAAAAGTCACTTCGACCGAGTCACATATCAGCAAAGTTTTCGCTGCCCAGTGGATACGAGTACCAGGGCGGAAGATACCCAAGATGTTCCTCGATAAGCAGGAGCTGGCTCTCGCCCATCACCTTCATGTACACCAAAATATGAAGTCATCTCCAGTCGCAGCCTGACTGGAGAAGACCTTTGGAATTCATGTCACCTCCAAACAGCTGCGAAACTTCTAGTATGGAGTCACCCATGGATAGCTACCTGGAGACCAGTACTCTCGATCTGGATGACCTCCAACATCGAGCAGCTCCGACAACGTCGCCACGGACATCATCTTCACCACAGTCGCCAAGGCGCGGGTTGATGGTATGGACCGGACGTACCTGGAATGGAAAGACCAATATTTTCTTCGTGGACCCCGGACTGAAGGTGAGCGCTGGCGGTTACATCGAGCAACTCGTGAAGAATATCCTCCTCACATGTCGTCGCCCGTACCTTCTTGGAAACTTTGTACTGCTACAGCATTGGGTGCCACCACATGAAATCGAAGGGCGTTGGAGAAACTCTCGCCTACTTGGAATGGAAGGGGGCTGAGTACCTAAAGAAGATGGAATATCCAAGTAGGTCACCTGACCTGAATCCCCTCAATTACCCGGTTCGGGCGGAGTTCAATAGGGTGGTCGGAGAAATCGACTATCTCGCTGATCTCAGGCACCACATCGCGGTCGCGTGCCAGAATCTCTCGATGGCGCTCGTCCAGAAGGCTGTGGCGGAGTGTCATGATAGTATTTAATATGCTCTTCAATATGGTGGTAAAAATGTCCGATCAGAATTTAATATTATAACGCCTCGAAAGTCAATGAAGGAAAGTGACTTTTTTTGCCCCCCCCCTGTAAAAGGATGTCGTGGTACTATTCAACTACCTCAAGAACTCGGGAACATTTTGTGCTGAAACTGCCCATAGGAGGTTATTCGATGCCCTGATCGAGTAAGACATTCGATTGCGACGCTGGCGCCATTTGAGGCCACTAGGCGCCAATTTGGCGTCAAACTTTGTCCACTAAAATCTTTCATTGAGGTTGTTTGACGCTCTGCTTACGAATATAGCTTTCATTTTTCGATTTTGCGCTCTGCTGAGACTTTGCCTGACAAAGAAGTGATTCCCTCCGGGCCAGGCTCAGCCTTAGAAGGATAATCGTAGTACCCTACATCAGCGCCGTAGCCAAGAATGCATGTAAGGGTCGCAATCAGGATCTCAAATAACCCCCGTTACAACTGCCATGAATTTTGGTAATGGTGAGTAATTGGGCGCCAGCACGAGTGGCGCGGGCGCCAGGGCGATACTCATGTTTGGGAGGTCAAACAACTCACGAGGATAACTTTTAAGTGAACTCTGTGTTTTAGGGCATTTTGACGCCGGCGATTGGCAGCTTCAGGCCAAGCGGGTGCGATATTCTTATTGCGCATATTGAACTAACGCTGGAAGCAAATTTTCAGCCAAATCTCGCTGGAAAAAAATCGGTAAGAAACTGGCCTCATTTCGGAAAATTGGGCTAGTAATAGTGGAATAGTGCTGATTTCATGATTCTTTCACGACTTTTTGCATCCTTGCGGCTAGAGCCATGTACAATAACCCCTGCACAGTAGACCTCATCGTAGGCCCCGCCCCAGGCTGCCACGCCCCCTGTTTGTCATGAACACAATTCATATTCACATAAACACATTATATCCCATACGATACACGCTAAATTGTTTATCAGCAATTAAAAAAGCAGACTAAAACGCATAGAATAAGCCCCCCCCCCAATATCAGGTCAGCACTCAAAGAAGCGAAACAGTGCTCAGCTAAGAAGAGACCAGAAACAAATACATATGAAGGAACAGGAAGACGAGCGGGACGACAGACCCAGTCCCCTGTAGATCTGAAAGGCTTCCGCATAAAAATGAAGACAGAGCGCCTATGTGTATGCGACTACTGCTATATTTTAGATTCATGGGGGGAGGGATGAGTGGTGTCCCTCCGGGCAAGAAAGCTGCGAAAGCTGAACGATCTCTCAAATCGCCAAATCGCGGACCGAAGTATTACAAGGAAGGGATTGTAGGAAGCAGATAACTTTGAACTGGTCCTAAACTATGTAAACGCTCTTACCTTGCCCCAACAGAGCTAACGATTGAAGTTCCTTCGCTGTTTGACACGCTAAAACAGCATACGGAAGACAGAGGCAGACCTGTAGCTCTTCCCTAAAGATGAAAAAGTCAAGAAAAAAAGATCGCTCATTAGATAACAGAACAAAAGAGAATTCGGCGCGATTCGGCTTGTTGAGGACACCAAATTTCAGCGAAGCTTGTACAGGCCTGTTTGAGAAAATTTACAAAGTAAACCGTCGCGACCGGAGTGCACTTGCAACATTTTGCAGTTCCACAAGAATTAACATGTTCCACCCAAAATGAGATTTCTTAGTTGGCATGAACTTACAAAAGGAACTAACGAAAGTGCAAAATGCTCCTCCCTCTCCCCCCCCCCCCCCCCCGAGGGTCGCCGAACTTCGCCGAAGTTTGCGCTACAACTACAAACAAAGCAATTGGCGGATCAAAGCTACTTACGGGTGTAGACAGTAGTGCTCAATTAGTAGTGGTAATGAACGAAACGAGTAAGGGCTACTCTCTAACCGAATCTGAAACCGCATTATTGTAGAATGGAAGAGCTGAGAATCTCCGGTGAAAGTAATTAACATACAACGCTTCCTCTGGTGCCATACTGCACAATGTAATGATCGATTAATGTTTCGTGCTCATTTGACAGTCTCACTGATATGGCCATGCAACCTGGTCTCGAAGACGCCCGGACGATGAAATTCTGGAGACAAATGAACTTCTAGCTAGGGCCACTGAAGAGGGCCAAATTACAGCTTCTCCACTTACGCCTGGTTCCATCTGCCTCAACAGATGAGTTGCAGCCGGACGACCAAGATGTTGCAAGTACCTTAATGTAAATTTTTGGCTGAAAATTCGAACGTTGCTGTCAGCAGCTTTCAGCTTCCTGGCGGGTGCCTTCATAGTTTACGATCAGTAGCCGAATCTTCGCAAATTGAGCGAGCGACTAACCGCCAGGTATGGAGGTCCCTACTACAGTAAGCAAAGGACATAATAGCTGATTCGAAACAACATACCATATTGGATGACTGCGCACTATTCTCTCCAGGAGTGTTACTTTTCTGTCAGGATGAGATGGTGTTTTTGACGGCGACGGCTGCATGGTGAGAATACCAGCATAATGAGTGATCGATGGCGGCTTCGGGCGCTGAAAGTTACCATTACGGCTCTTCACCTTCATACGACTACTGTCTGGCAGTTCCCTCGCAAACCCTTCATTATTCTATGATTCAAAAGCCCACTACCCACAGTTGCTGAATGAGAGTCCATATTTACCCCAATCCGTAGCCTCCACCCGACTTCTCAGACGGATTATCCTGGGCTCCTCTCTACTCCGCGCGACACAGGATAATCCCATTGCACTTTCTACACCGTAATATATCCCCACTGAACCCATTGTCACTACAGTGCTCAGCCACATAAAATTGCGTGCAAGTGGTATTTAATTCAACATCAACCGGTTTCCTTATCCATCTCCATTTGTACCTTTTTCACTTCAAATTCACCACCTTTCAAACCAAATTCACCACTTTTCAAACCAAATTCACCACTTTTCAAACCAAATTCACCACTTTTCAAATCAAATTCACCACTCTTTTTAGACCGGGCAGTTCACCAACCAGATCACGCCAGACACCTTTGCGAACCCTGCCCCGACATCTACTTGTCAGCCGAACACAGAATTTCAACATATGGCCGACTCCGCCCATTCTTTAAAGGGTTTGTTGCGAACTTCAGAATTTCATAACTTTTTCAACTTTCTATTTTCACATCCACTCGTTGCACTACAAAGATAAGAGCCGCGCACTCATGCACCGGTAATTCAGGCTCCGTCCCTTGGCCACGCCTACCTGATTTTTGCGGAATTTCGGAATTTTTCAAAATTTTTTGCATGTTTGGACTGCTCCACGAAGCCCCGCCCACTGTGAGAGGCTCCGCCCACTTTGAAGAAGCCCCGCCCACTTTTCAAAAATGGTGCAGATCGGCAGTATAGAGCCTTGGCTTGCATGCTAGGGTCTCGTCCGTCACTCGGAACAAACTTTGCCTGATTAATTTGTTCCGAGTGACGGACGAGACCCTAGCATGCAAGCCAAGGCTCTATACTGCCGATTGCACCATTTTTGAAAAGTGGGCGGAGCCTCTCACAGTGGGCGGGGCTTCATGGAGCAGTCCAAAAATGCAAAAATTTTGAAAAAATATCAAAATTCCGCAAAAAGCAAGTGGGCGTGGCCAAGGGACGGAGCTGAATTGCCGGTGCATGAATGCGCGGTTACGAGTATCTTCGTTGTGCAAAGAGTGGATGTGAAATTAAAAAGTTGAAAAAGTTATGAAATTTCGAAGTTCGCAACAAACCCTTTGAAGAATGGGCGGAGTCGCCATGTGTCGATGTGTTGAAAATCTATGTCCGCGCTGACAAGTAGGCGTGACCGTCGGGGAGGGGCTCGCGGTGTCTGGCGTGATCTGGTTGGCGAACTGCCCGGTCTAAAAAGAGTGGTGAATTTGATCTGAAAAGTGGTGAATCTAGAGTGAAAATGTAAGAGTAAGAGTAAGAGAAAAGAGTTATCGATCTGATGGTACGAACGTATAGCGACACTACGTAAAGAAAGAATCAAAAGAATGGAACGTTACAAGTACTCCAACATGGAGACAAACTATACGCCGTCTTCCGCGGATCTTCGTTCCTTGAAATGTGCGATGTAAATGGTCCGCAGTTGAAGTAGCGTACCACTTTCTCCGCTCAAAGGGGGTGAAGCCAGAGGGTTGTGAAACAGTGAGCAGGGTTGTCTTCCTTCTCCACAAGCGCTACTACACTACTAGTCACACGCCCTACATCTTCATAATAGCGCTGGCGGAGTATGGAGACGGCACTCCAGTATCAGTACCCTATGGCCCCCGTTTCCAAGCAAATCTGAGCCACTACCCTTGTTACCTCACACATGGCATGGTATGCTATCGAGTGTGGGAGTGCAGTGTCTTAGATGACAAGAAAATCAATGCCTAAAAAACAATATTAACAATAACGGTACGTACCTCCTCACAAGATTCCGCCAATTCTTGAACAATTGGACTGTTCGAGTACTCCAGAGGAACTACCCATTCCGGGCCCTTGCGCATCATGGTTTTGGCCATGGTGTTGGTGGGTACCCCTGTGTCGAAACTTGCAGAAGCGTAAGCTGAAAATGTTAGGGATTCTGGAAGCGAGCGCGATCGAATAATTAGATAAATACCCAAACAAAACATGTATTAACTGGCTGAATTCTGTTAACTCTCAATATTAAAGGTTGGGAGTTCAGAGGGATAAAATCTGACAGGTTTGCTCAGGGTGACTGGAATTTTTCTTCCTTAGTGAGGCGGTGGCGCTCTAATAGCAAGTGGCACGCTTACCCTGCTCGCGCTCCCAGGTCAGATTGGCTCTCGCTCAGGATAACCAAGCCCTTTACCCTCCGGGGACGGTCAATTGTACCAGAACCGTCTGCGTGAATGACAACACTTATTTGTACTTTGACTGGTCCGCGCAGTTCATTGTATAGGCTCTACTGCATTCAATAAGCCACCACGATTCGAATGGAAGTTGAATGCGTGCCGCGTCAAAAGGAACTGGTCACCAGCGAAAAATTCACCCTTTATCCTGAAAAAATATTCAGTGCCGCTGCCAATTATACAGCGGGGGGGGAGGGGGCAAAAAAAGTCACTTTTCTTCATTGACTTTCGAGGCGCTATAAGTTACACTTTATTAAATTCTGATCGGACATTTCTACCACCATATTAAAGAGCATATTAAATACTATCATGACACTCCGCCACAGCCTTCTGGACGAGCGCCATCGACTGCAAGTGGTGAGATCAGCGAAATATCGACTTCTCGTAGACCTATTGAAGGGATTCAGGTCAGGTGACCTACTTGGATATTCCATCTTCTTTAGGTACTCAGCCCCCTTCCATTCCAAGTAGGCGAGAGTTTCTCCAACGCCCTTCGATTCCATGTGGTGGCACCCAATGCTGTAGCAGTACAAAGTTTCCAAGAAGGTACGGGCGACGACATGTGAGGAGGATATTCTTCACGAGTTGCTCGATGTAACCGCCAGCGCTCACCTTCAGTCCGGGGTCCACGAAGAAAATATTGGTCCATACCATCAACCCGCGCCTTGGCGACTGCGGTGAAGATGATGTCCTAGACCGTGGCGACGTTGTCGGAGCTGCTCGATGTTGGAGGTCATCCAGATCGAGAGTACTGGTCTCCAGGTAGCTATCCATGGGTGACTCCATACTAGAAGTTTCGCAGCTGTTTGGAGGTGACGTGAATTCCAAAGGCCTTCTCCAGTCAGGCTGCGATTGGAGATGACTTCATATTTTGGTGTACATGAAGGTGATGGGCGAGAGCCAGCTCCTGCTTATAGAGGAACATCTTGGGTATCTTCCGCCCTGGTACTCGTATCCACGTCCTCTGTCTGGGCTGCGAAAACTTTGCTGATATGTGACTCGGTCAAAGTGACTTTTTTTGCCCCCCCCCCTCTGTTCATTGCTGTTGACGATGGGGAATGATTTGTGCCTTCAGGGAAGAATTCACCCTCCTAAAAAAACCATGAAAATTGAAAGAAATTATGATGAACAAGTTTTTAAAGCAGTGCAGATCACAGCAGTAAAACCCACAACGCGAGGAGGAAGGAGAGGGGGTGGCATTTTGGGAGTAGATTACACTATCGCGCATTACATACTCCACTTCACGGATTTAAGGTTGTCAGATCAGAGAAGAAAATGGGTGGAGAAGGGAAAGATGAGGGAGGCAACGGCAATGATTACAACCTCTCTTGTGGTGTTCCCTTCTTCTAACACAAAGTGGTTCTGAACTGAGTGTACTAATGCCTTTATTACGCAGAATAATGCCTGCACTATTCGATTATAAGCGCAGAAGCCCAGGATGATACGAAAAAGATCAGTCGTATAATGAACGCCGAAAAACAGCAGACACATGGGAAATCACGCCACGAGGTCCGTGGCGCCTGGGAAAGTTATTAATCATCACGGAAAAAATTTCTACGATCAGCGATACACTCAAAGCTTTAGCACTAAACGTTGTGCTGGTGAACCGGAAGAGGCATGAAACTAATGAAAACGATGAAAAGTGTGGAACGGTAAAGGTAAGGTCTCTAGTGGCTCAATGCTGAGAAATATTGTAAACATGTGGTTAGCAAGGTTGAACGAATGGTGAGAAAACCACACTGTAGGACTCGTTCATGGATTCGTTAGGAAAAAGCTAGATTGCTGATATTTTTATGCTCAACTTCCTCAAGAGCCAGTTTTTCCGCTTGAAAAGGATTCTCAGTGAGGGAGAAGTGAGAAGGTTCGAGAGAAAGCTGCCACATGAGGGGGAAGGAAACCACCATTTCACAGTTGATACTGCTGATGAGAACGTTTTGGGTTTGAGGTCAGCCCACCCCTAGACATTCCACCGCGAGGGGAGAAAGAAAATGACCTCAACACGATGACGACCACATGTCAACGCTGGGAGAATCGCGAAATTACGTGCCACATATTTATTCCATAACCATTAAATTACTGAAGCACCGGAGAACTCACGAGGAGGAAGTCTCCACAGAAAATATTGAGACAATATTTCCATGCCAATACGAAAAAAGACGTAGAAAGAGAGTGTATCCCCGCAAAATGCCCGCGATGTGAACGATATTTCAAAGCATTGTATAGACAGACGTCTGGCAATCGATAAATACAATTTGAGGACGTCTTCATTCTGTCAAATATAACGCACAGCAAACTTTATCACAAAACTGAAGACAAAACCCGCGATTGCATGTTGTGGGTAAAGCGTTCATTTAAAAATCTGTAGGCCACAAACTGACAGGCGAGGGAAAATTTGAAAAATCATGGGGGAAACAATGAATGAGGGTCTCTGGCATAACTGTACGAGTTCACCGGACCTGCTCTTCTTATACCAGCAAAGCAATACCCTGTCGCCTTTGGCTCACTAAACATTTCTTTGCCATCTAATAATAGAGAAAAAAACGAAAAACATGGCGTAGTGACTAAACTTGTGACAGAAAATAGCCTGTGAGTTTTCGTGGGCGGGGAAACTAGGAGGAGGCGTCAAAACTGTCACTTATGAGTGCCGCAGCGCCTTCTTTACTTCTTGTGAAGCCGTGAAAAGGGAAAATCACAGAGACTGAAAGATGGACTACTTGTGCAAGAGGAAGCTTGCAAGCTACTCGAGCGCGAGTTCCGGCTTTAATGTTGAAGAAGAATAAAATTGAAAGAGAATACGAAAAATACCTGCGCTCAAATCCGTTTCAGACGATGTTATGTCTTCCACCTGTACACTAATAGACTCAAGGTCACCTTCGCTTCCACTTTCGCAGCTTCGCCTGCAATTAAAAATTCCAGCAAAAGCAAAAATTCCTGATCAGAATTTTTCATGATCTGGATAGAGAATATTGCTCTGAAAGTCGCAACCCAACCAACTAGCTGCTACCAAGTTTTATCAGCTGGCATTCCTTTTGTTCCTTAAAAAGCACCCGAATCTGTGGCATGCACAATAAAAGTACGCTTGCTACATAATAAGAGACTTCTTGGAAACACCTCAGGATTGATCAGTAAGGCTGAGAAGCTTCCGCAACTTCTACTAGGTAGACTAACAAGTGAAGTGCAGACAGGTTTTCTTCCTCATTAAGTGGATTCCCTAGCCTCTCAAGAGATCTTGTTAGACTGCTAAAGATGAAATTAGCCAGCCTAGAGAGCTGCTAGTTACACTGCTAAGGAAGAAATTAGTGAGTCTGGAGGACTGCTAACATTTTTAGTTACTGTGGAAGAAAGGTTCCTAGTAAATATTGAAAGTATGAGTTGGTACACTAAAGTTTTCAACGGGAGGTTTGAAGAGTCGAGTGAAACCAGAATGGAGAACTAGTCGGTCATAGTACGCAAAACGAAAAAGGCGACGATGGAGCGCCTCCTTTGACAATAGCTCTGCGCCGAACTCACGCCGAACCTAATTGAGGTCCAAAAAACAAAATTCGCGCCGATCTTTCCAATCAATCACAGGCGTCTCATGGTCAGCGAGCACAAAATCAGTTTGAAAGGATATCCGAAAAAATTACCAAGTAGGAGGACCATACACTAGGCACTCTCGAAATCACATTGAACATAGACACGAACGTTTAGATTATCTATCGATCAGCTCCTTGGCACAAATAATTCTGAGAAACAAAGGTAAGAAGGTAGTGAAATGAAGAATAAAATAAAAAGGCCTGGAGAAAATTGCTATTGCACGAGTTATTTCCAATGTTGCTGTCATTCTTTCCATCAATACAATAGCTATTTCCTATCCAGAGTGGCGATTTCGCCAAATCTACAGCGACCGCCTAGGCCTTTCCCCTCGTGGCGCGATTTATTTGCACAGACATCCTCGCCAAAAATAACCCCGCCACTTTGTTGGCTCACCAGGGGTCAGCTAGCGAACCGAGACGGCTTCCGGTGAATCATTACTGACGAAAACTAAAAGGATAATGCAGTCTTCACTTCACGTCTGAAGACAAAACGAAAACCAAACTCCTACGTTTTCCTGCACCAGAATCGTTAAATAACTTACAGTATTCATATATTCAACGGTGCAGTCCATTAATAGGAGTGGGACGGATCAGGGCAAATCACGATTTCCTCCCTTCACTAAATATCTAATACGAAAATATGACGCATTTTGGGACTCATACCACTTCGTAAGCTTTACAACACATTCCCCTCTTCTCCACAAAATAGGCTGATGTGGTGGGCAAGTGGCTCGTTTCACACTCGCGCGGTCCTGGGTTCAAATCCTGGGTCTACTCCCGCACAGACTGACCAAGCATTTTTTATACTCCCAGACAAAACAGGTACCAATCCCCCGGGAACGGTAACTGGTACCAGATCCGTCTGGGAGGATAAAAAAACTGACTTGTGTACCCTGGCTCCCACAGGTCATTGTATAGGCCACATCGCATTCAATAAGCCACTACGATTCTGAATGGAAGTAGAATGCGTGCCGCATCCCGCAAAGGGATTGTCAACGGCGGAAACTGCATCCTTCTGTCCTTATCTCCACGAAACGGCCTGGCACGTTTACAGGGGTTTCCCAAATGTCCCTCCCCGTCTTCCTTCCTCTCCCGATGACCTCCTCTTCCATATTCCACACAAGAGACAAACTGTAAACTCAACATCGAGGACGCTTTCAGTCGTGTGCGAGAAGAACGTGCGCG